ATATATGCATGTGGCGAATTGGGTTCTATCTCAGAAACTCGAGGAATGTTTGATCTTTACGACGATAAAAGATCTACCCGAATCTGCACCTTATACTGGAGTGCATCTGTGGAACCTGAAAGACGCAATGAAATTTTGAAATTCAATCATGATGTCAGATATGATGTTGGTATTGGCAATTGGAATGAATCTGGTACCATGGGTATGATTCAAGTAACCATCAAGGAGCAGGCTTGAAGTTGGTACCTGTGAAGCTACTTCAATTGGCTGGTGATTTCGACGAATTTTCTCTCCACACCTTAAAACGGAAAAGAAAGTGTTTTGCGCAGCTCAAATTCGACCTTGACGGTGGGCGTTAGTTGAGGGAACAAGATCACGATAAAAGATACAGAAAAAGGGGGAGCCCGTGGCCAAGTTGTCATGCATCTTTGCCATTGGATTTAAAATTATCGTGAACTGTTTCATTACAGGTTCAATTAACAAGAGTATGGGGCCACCTGTGTATAAAATAGCATTATTTGTAGCTTCAATTTCTGGAGCGCTAAAAAAAGAAATACGAACCACTGAGATACCTATCGGTACACGTTAAATCCTCTTTCAAGTGTATTCTTTATTTTTTAATTTGGAAAAGGATTTCACACGCTTTGAATTCTGCCGCGTCACCGTGGCGCCGCATGAGAAGCCATGATATTTTGGTCAGAAATGACGCAATGCACCCCAGGCCATCCACAAATGGTAATTTCATGGCTTAAAAGATTACAGCTAGAAATATCTGCTTATATCGGAAAGGTTATTGAGGAGAAGTGTTGCAGGGCATGAAAAAGAAGGGGTGAGGGTTTCTAACCAATCCGCCATACTTATAGGGTGACAGATATCTCACAGCCATGACCACCAAGCAGTCACCTGGAATCTTTCAGGGTGTGTGCTGGTACCACCGAACAAGATTTTAGCATTGAGAGTGACACTATAACTGCTGTTTACATTATTCAGGGCGTTATATGGCCGCCGGGGAAGTCATGGACAAAATGTACATTAGGCACAAGTGAGCCGCGATTTACAATACGCCTGCAATAACGCAATACTGTAACCACCAATATGCATAGTAGATAGAGATGAAGCTGGTTGATTATTTTGTCTGGAAATAGACCAAAATAGAACCTGATTCTATAGAATATGCGTGACGGCGCTACGGTTCAACTACTTTAATATAAATGATAGTACTGTCCTTGTTGATATAATGCATCTGCGCATGTTCATAACAACCGCGCGACGCAGGAACATGCAAGTAATTAGTATTTGGGCATCCACGTATCCGTATGAAGGATCTCAGGGAAGACTGATAGCAGAATATCACGGATAATGAAACATAACTACATCAGAATTATTCTTACGTGACAAGTAGCACGTCAGAACAATGAATAAAAGTAGCTAAATTTGTATTCACCACAAAGTTTGTGCCTCTCCATGCAGTGATGCATTGTCCAGTCTAGAAAAACCGAGGGATAATATATGTCCCTGCGGTATTTCTGGTTGCGGTTCCGGTTCCGGTTCAGATTGAGGTTGAGCCTGAGGTTCAGGTTCAGGTTCTGGTTGAGGTTCAGGTTCAACTTGTTGTGGTATGCTCTCCGGTGGAGTTTCCTCCCGGGGGCGTTTCAGTGGTGTTGTTTCGCTACGGGATGCCATTCTTGCTCAAGAACTGGGGAACGGCAGCAAGCAATACGAGGACAATTTCAGGGAGAAGGAACAAGTGGGTGATCGTGAAATAGTAGGGATAGAAACCAAAATAATCAAGGGAATAGAAAAATGAAAAAAAAGCAAGAAAAGAAAACCTAATACCCCCCTACTACTAGCTAATTATAAGAACAATAATAATAGAATTAATAGCGGTAAAAAAAAAAAAATTATTAAACGGGAAAAGAGAAGGGAAAACCGGCAGGAAAGGGGAGGAAAAGGTCCTGAAGAACGAGGAATTGTGGTCCCAATCGCAGCGACTCTTAAATCGGACTCGTCGACGGGCAACTCATAGCGGGACCGCCGTTGAAAGATTTGCGGTGTCTCAAAAAGCTGGCCAAGTTTCGCGAAGCAAAGTACAGAAGTCCTTGTTCGGCTCCAGACACTATTCAATCCCATTTCATCATAATATGTACGCCCGTCACTCGTTAGTTCGCATTTGCACGGATGCACCAACAATGTGCCGCGACCGTCGATCGAGGAGGCCTTGTGGCTTCTTTGGGCGGCCAACAGCTTTAGCCGCTTGTTAGTCGGCATTAGTGACCGTCTAAGTGATCGGTTAACTGGTTGGTTCGAGGTCCAGTGGATCCACTGGTCGGATCTTTTGCCATTTTTCTTGTGTTCAGGCGTTTTGTCCTTTTTTGTTTTTGATTCCCTTTTCCCCCCCTCTCTCTCAATGCCCCCTCGATTAGGGCATAACCGCATCCCCATTCTTTGTATCGAAAAGGGAGACACAAAGGGTCCGTCTGGTTGGGTTGCATAAATGAAAGACTGGATGTCTATTGATATAAATTCGGTAAAAGGTATTATAGCATAACAAGGGTTAGGTAATAGAGAAAAATTGCCTCCCGGGGTCGGCACCACCTCCACTACCCGCTGTCAGCAATTCCAATCACGCCACGTCACCGTGGTCGAAATTCTTCAGGCTCATGTGGTCCACGAAAGGCCATGGAAAAGAGTCCCGAGCATCTGTAGGGATCGGACTGAGCCGTTTCTCCTGATTCCATGTGGCGGTTGGGGGGCGTCTTTCTCAATGCACGAATCTTGCGCATGGCGAAGTTATTGACCCTTGCTAGCTCCACAACCCCCTAAATGGATCGATGCATCACATCCTTAAAAGGGCAAGAGCCGTTGCTGCGTTGGCAAATGCGACTCTAAACCCTGTTTGTGTGCACGAACTGAGCACACAGCACTTAAGCAGCTTAAACAGTATAGAACAAGCTATGAGAGCGAAGGATGGCCTTTTGCAGCTGCCCGCAAGATCCCAAAGTACGAGTAGCCTACACCCAATCAGGTCCTTGCCTTTCGCTAGTGGGCCCATGATTTCTGTGCAATTTCATTACTGCTCGGCGTTCCGTGGTTCGTCGAGTCTGGAACCCAAGTTTAAACCACACTGGAGATCGGAAGACACGAAGGGAAGAGATCGCAACTTTGCAGTTCACTTACCTTGCGTTCTGATCTTCAAGGCCATCGTCGTGATTTTGAGTTTGATAAGATGTCTGTTGGGGATACGTAGAATAGTCACGATAATTACAATACACGACTAGGCCTGTAGAGTGTATTGCGCGTCAAGTGGATGATAAAATACGTTCAACACTATGAGCTCGATGATCCAGCGAACATAATGGGGAAATAATACACCAGAGCGGGTCCTCTTTGCTCAGATAGATGGCCGATTTAAAGTGGGCTCACTAAATGTGAGCCCCAACAGTCATAGCCGTAATTGTTCCTTGGCGTCTGTTCCGGGACTTTTTGATATTGTTGGGCGCATGAACAACGGGTTACCCAAGAAGTTCCCGCTCTGATAGGATAGTTGGCACGGGCATCGAGCGTTGACTTATCGCACACTGTACGGCGTGCCGAGGATTGTGTTGATACTCCTCCTGGCGTAATAGGTTGGGACTGCCTCCTAGGTACAAGTGTGAATACGAGTGGAAACAGGGCTCCTGAGGATGGCTACCGGGGGGGATTGAAGCTGTTTTGAGATGTTGCAACCTTCGCCGGGTTCGACGCTTGTAACTGGTCCTCGAACATAAAGGGTTCTACTCTGTTCAAGCAATCTGCTCCTGTCGATTCACAGATAGGTTCTGGCCTTGTGCAACCGTACTGGTGCCAGTCAGACGCAACGGAGACCTGGCTAGATGCTGAAAGAGCCGATGGGATTCTAGAAACTGGATTCATAATCAAGGACTCTATGAATTGAGAAGCACTGGTCTGGAAGATGTATTATACGAGCCGCCCAGTGCTTCATAAACGATCAGTTATGGTCACATTGCAACCGCAGTCAAGCGGCAAGGGCGATGTCACATACTCGGATTTGAAGAGGTTTGCCCCCTTTTTGTCATAGCTAGCTGGTGTTTTAAAGTTCTGATCTCGCTTTCTAAAGCAGTAATTTTTTCGGAAGACATAATCATACTACTCTGCTCGCGATTTTAACTCTGTTACCTGGTGTTCCAGGTGTTCGATATACTCCTTTGCCCGTCGACGAATATACCTTTGGGCTTTCCGATCGTTGGCGCGCTTCCGTTCAAGTTGTGCTGCTGAGAGAGTTGTCGCCTTTCGCGTCCCAGCAAGGGGCTCTCGTTTCCTTGGTTGGAGGTCTGAAATGGTAGCCATTATGACCTTAATACAGTAAGTAGCCAAGTGAGCATACGAGGGGATTGGAGATAGTGCATCCTTGGGAGACGGGAAGCATGATTGGTACGTCCCGCACCGCCTGCTTAACATAACTAGTTCTGTCGGCCTTATACCTCGCCATAATTCTATCTTGCCGTCATCATTATTGGTAAACCATACAGATTATTGATGTTCAGAAGCCTTGCTTAAATTGTATTAGCCTTAGAGCAAAAAAAAAAAAAGTACAAAAATTTGTGGCGATTTGCGATTAACCATACCTATGTACTTACAGGGCACTCGTGTCCGCAGGCATCCGCAGGCTCACCCAGCGGGACAGGCTATTGGACCACAGCCACCTCTATAGTCATAAGTGGGTCAATTTCATTCTTTGTTTCACAGCCAATAGAAAAACTATCCAGCACCGGCGATTGGACAGTCCAGACCAGTCTCAACAGCGAAATCGACGAGGGAGATACATGTTACTGACAACGTTTGACTACCGCATGGAATGTAGCGCAGATGTGTCCATAACGACCCGGCCGAGGCATAACGGCCAGATTATCTTAGAGGATGACTGGCATCCTTCACGAGAGGAGTTGGTAAATACTCTCTTCGGCCTATGAGACAATATGCAGCCGCTGGGGAATAGTTTAGCAAATCTTCGAATGCAGACATGTATATTATTACCAATAAAATTCCTGGAAAAGGTGTATGAGTACAACCAGCTAGCCGTTGAGTAGTCCGAGAACAATAATATGTTAATGATTATCTGGATATTGCCCTGCGGACTATTGAGGACCTTTCTATCGCCAAACTCCTATCCCAAGGTACGGATGAATTAGGTAAATAAAAAAAAATTAGAAAGAGAGAAAGAAAAGAAAAATCACAACTTCTGAGAAGCGTCCTAGTTCCTATCATGCCTTGCCATCCCCGGTAGAAGCGAGTGCGCCTTCCCGATCTAGCAAACACTTGCTAGGATAGATATGATATCATTTCCTGAATCGGTTGAGGGTAGTAAGACGCCTTTGGATGTAAGTTGGACGATGAGAAAAAAAAACTTTAATTGGGCATACCAGGTTACATAGCCTGTTAAGCCACTAGTTTTATGAGGACGAATCAAGAAAATGTATCTGCCCAGTTTTCCGGTCTTGAACAGCCACAAAGACATCAGACACAAATTCAGGGTAGTATTGAGCTCCCTTTCTAAAAGACCTCGCTCACGTCTGTATCGTTGTTGCGCCTTTGCTAGAGGAGAGTTTGATTGACGCTTCTTCACCCACGACGATCTCTTGGGCATATTATAAATCACTGATACTGTAGCTATATTTCCGGAAGTCTCGCGATTCAGGGGTTTGTACATAGTCTTTACCCTAAGGCCTGAGGACGGCTGCGGTGGTCTCATGTCAAGGACTTCATTCGTCCGCAGGGCAACGTCTTGCCGCAGGACAAGGCCATCATTTAAAGCAATTCCATGGTATAATCATCCTCTATAAAACACACCATCCTGTTCCTCCGTCCATTATTTGATGGAGCTGCTCGACTACCATAGGCGTATCAACTATCTATGCTATTGTATCTTTGCTGTTTTCTTCTTGGCCAGGACGCTCTATATCACCGCCAAGTGGACATAATATTTTCCGTTTTAAGTTCTCGACTTCTGACTCCCCCCTTTGCTATTTACACGCATCTACTCTGATGTCTGTAACCCGAGCTAGTATTTTCATCCACATACACTATCATATGTAGCCACTAATTTTTTTTTCCTAGCCAACTTCCATGCGAGAACATTGGGTGATATAAATTGCTGGGCGGGTGTATTAGCCCTGGTCAGTCTGATTTTCCCTTTCTCAGGAGCCCTCCGTCGGAGTTTTCTTGGTAACTCACTAGGCATCACCTAGTGATTGTGTCTGAGGATCCCCTATGCTACCGACTAGGTGGCTGTTGCTCTGCTGACATTTCACGTTGTCGCAGCATTTCAGTCCAACCCGACTTGATTTCTGCTCCACGACTTGCACAACCTCTCCAATTCCCTGTCATCGAGAACTGCCCTGGGCCATACCTAGGCCTCGCCAAGGGTCTGGTTTGAGTTCAAGATCAGAACCTATACCAACCGGTCAGATTAAGATTCTATTAGATCTAATTGTGGGCTTGTCGTACTATATATTATTTCTTTATGATATTCCAAGGCCACAGCATACGAAGCGCGCGTCTTTCAGTCTGATACAGGATAATGCAGAAGCGACAAATAGGAATTCGCATGTATGCTGAATTAGTCCCTCATAGCATTGGGGTTTAACACAGAAAAATAAACCCGGTTGCCAATTCGGAATTTTGGTTAAATATAAGTGTTTTGGATTATAGTTAATGCTGAGCTCCTTGGTCCAGCATGATCGTTCTAAGAGTTATATATGAAACCAGCCATTTGGTAAACACTTATTGGTATACCAGAAAACAGCTAAAGTTTAGCCCTAACCTAGCAGACATCATTTAAAAACAAGCTAAAGCTTCACATCCTGTCAAAGTTACATGGCCTAAATTCATCATATGGAGTCTGAAATACAGGGTGATAAAACACGTTATGCAATGATCCTGAGTCCATGGTTGATTGCCCGCCCGTGCCATGTGGCACAGAGCATATGTGGTTAAATGGATAGTATATAGGTTGGGAAGATGAACTTTCTAGCCCAGTAGTAGGGAGTGCAATCGTGCCAAGTTCAGGCAGCCTGCTCTGTTCCACGGTGGAGCGTAGAAAAAGCCGGCGATAGAGGTCATGGCAGACTTCTGAAGCACGCTGCGCAGCGAGACTATCCATCGCCAATGCAGAAAGCCACACTAGTGCCTTTTCAATCATTGAGTTAACTCTCACGGTATTATCGCTACTATATCTGCCGCAGTACTCCAATTCTATCAACAGCACGGTTACTGATTGCATGAGGTAGTGTAGAACACACCACCATGGAGACACTTGGTTCAACCAGACGATATCAGGCTCATTAGGTAAAAGGTCAAGAATCTGGCATGCAGAATCGATACATAGCTCTGCTGCCTTCTGGACTTCCGTGTAAAGCTCTGTGCCTGGTTCCTGTCTCGCTGAACGACAAAGAGAAGGTCGACAAATCGTAATTTTCACACTATGAAATCGGAAGGCAAAACTCCATCTTTGCCTCTGAAACTGATGTGCTGTTCGGTGACAGGTAAACTGAAATACCACGGGAAGGCCGGCAAGCCACTCGTCCGTCTCATCTACCAAGTCCAGCATTGCTGTATTGATAGTAAGCCAGGGTCGAGTAGCGAATCCTGGACTGTATAATAAATCTATCGCGCGACGCATGATTTCGGTAAGCTGGACAAAGTAGACAAAATACAGGGAGGTGCTGGGAACAATCTCCGCTAAGTCTGCAGCTAAATTCTGTCCGCTAGCCTTTCCGGCAGGTGAATCGGGGGTGGCCGGGAATCTATGCCTGGTGACTGCAAAGGCTCGCATATACTCGGTACGGAAATCAAAGTCAGCTAAGAGGCGGACTGCAACTTGTACATGGAACTACTCTTCTTCGAAAGGAATTGGTAGTGGCGTAGTACAGAACCTATCTGCGGTTGCAGTAGGCCGCCCAGTCATGGTTGATAGCGTATTTTCCAATGTATAGAGTGACCACCAAACGCGGTATCGGATCTCTTTAGAAATATTTGAAATTTCTTTACTCTCACTGCGAAGGTTAATCCCCATGGCAATGGACGACCTGATCGCGACGCCACATGCTCTCCATGATCTGTAATATTGTAAGTAGGAGTCTACAATGTAATCTACTAGCGGCAAAGACTGGAATCACCTTCGTACCTATTGATATGGCCAAACGTCATTCATAGAAACGCAATGAGACCTTCGACCTGGACTTGCTGGAGATCGGGGTGATCAATCAATTGACTACCTATAAAGATAAGTCTCTGAGCCCGGGAGAAGTACACCATAGGGGCTTCCATGGCTTGCACCAGATGTTGAGGCACCAAATGTACGAACTAGGCCGCCGCGGCGAAAACTAGATTCAGGATTGCGAGCCACTTTTTTGTTGGCCGCAAATAAGGTTTCGTGTAATAGCTTTCCAACTGCTGCGTGAAGGATAATCTGCTAATGATGGGGAATGAAGGATGTACAGTATGGAAATATAGACGGACTAGTCTCTCTGCAATATCTGGAGAAGGCCGAATGTGAACATCAATGTCATCATCAATAGTAATCTCCTGGTCGTCTAGGAAATAACTCACCTTACTCAGAGCCTGGGAGTCGTCGCTTGGAGATTGGTTCGGAGTGTTTGCATTAAGGATTTCGGTGTCCTTCTCCACTGCCCTGTTTAGGTCGCGAACCCAAGACATCTCAGAAGGACCACCAATAAATCCAATGGGTTGCAAACGTCTGTTACCGTGGAAGTCTTCTTGTACGCACTCTACCCCCAAACGGAGTTCCTCTCTCGCAGTTTGGGAATGGCCGTGACCTGTCACCGTATCGGTGGATTCGGGCGAAAACTTGAAGCATATTAACAGACTGGACACTAGGAATAGTCCATCGAAGGGTAGTGTACTTCAGCCAAAGCTCGAGCGACAAGTTCCTCGTCCTCCGGCATCACTTTCAGCTGCAGTCGGCGAAGCAGTTTTTCGTAGACCTGAACCTGCCTTTCGAGCTCTTGAAGTCGCCTGGGACCTGATGGTCAATCGATGTTGCTCAATACAACGACCGTCAAAACGCACCTTTCCTGAGACTCTTTCTTCCCATCAACATAGATGCAGTCTATTCCGAACCCCACGCATCGGCTGCACGGTTGGTATCCATCGCACTTGGTCTTCAGGCCTCTGCACTCCTTACATGCCTTCTTAGCGCGTGGTCTAACCGCAACCTCGTTATGGATTGACAATCTCAGGATAGGAATTTTTGAAGGACGTGAAACGCAGGGAGAAGGATGTTGCGACGATATATTCGGTTTCGTCCCCAATAAAGGGTGCCTGGTCTTCTCCGGTTGCTCTGGCGGTAGCCGCATTGACGACGAGCTCATGGTAGGATCTGTTTCCAATGCCCAACGCCATTCTCTGGATCCCATCATTAGCTCACTGGTAATGTAGGAAGGTTGACAAAGTAGTTTCCTTTCGGATCTTTGTGCGAGATATCAGTGATTGAAACGATACCATACATTCCAAGGCCGGCGCGTACACAATTACATAACAAATACTCTGTAACGTAACCGGTAAGCGAGCCGCCACTGTAACCGGCCCATCTTCTGTTGTCTGTAGTAAACAGCCTACTTTTAAATAAGAATATCTCAACCAAATCAGTTTATCTCTACTTAACAATCAATATATAGCCTATTATACAGTAGAATAATTATATAAAAACAATAGAAATCTTTTTAAGCTCTTGTTACTAAGATAAGACGAAAAGTACTATAATCTATAGTACATAGTTAGAATTTATATAGTCCAGAATTCTTTTCTACTTGAATTTAATTTATAAGAATACTAATCTCAGTATACAGGGAACATGAACAATGTCTCCTTTCTGGCTTACTCCCATCTCTTGATCGCTTGGTAATTTTCGGAATCCGAAAATACAGCGATACTGTTTGACAAACGATACAATTATCTATTTTTTATACTTGTCAGAGGTTAAAGGTATGCCCAAAGTAGGTGTCAAAGGGTAGATATCTGCACAACAGTTATATAAGTGGTAGCTCGTGTCATCCGAGGGCATAAAATACTTGACATTCCCAGACACAGTATTCATTGTAGGTATGGACAAAACACTTAGCGTATCGTATTCAGGGGAACAGTTATTATACCTGCTCCTTCTGTAATATTACTACTACTTCAACTGCCCACCATCTGTCTCCAATGCGCTGATTATCTTTAACCCAACCTATCGTGCTTATCAGTATCTATTATATTGTCCTAGTCAGATCTTCATACAGTTCTGTCAACGATGACCAGACCATAGATCAATTATGCTGCTCGCTGAATGGTGATCATGAAATAGGGTAGAATGGCAGCGTTGGGGACCGACACAGGGAAGTCTTGATATACATTTAGTACACTCCTAGGCCTACGTCACACAGGCATGGGAATTGGCAGCTCTCAATCCAGACATGCCCCAGAGTTTCTCATGTTGATAACCAAGATAACAAGAACTTTAAAATAGAACATCACTGTGAGATGCCAAGGTTGCCATGCAGATCATTCAGCGGCTTGACCAAGAAAGGTATATGAAAACAATCACATTGAGCCTATTGCTAGTTCCTGGTTATTTCACGTTTCATTAATTATGGACAAGGAAACAACAAAATCAATCAATTATGAAGAAGCCAAAAAGAAAATTCACGACATAGTAAATGAGTAATGGATCTGCCCCGAACACCTCTAGTTTCTTGCAATTTCCCTTCCAGAAGCCAACATAATGGGTTCTTCCTCCCTAGATTTCTAGGGCCTGAAGAGCCGCATGACTCTAGTTGCAACTGTTGGGACGAGGTCCGCCTACAAAATGTCAGTATCATGCCTAGTATAGTTAGTATGAGGAGTCACCGTACGGCAACGACGAGGCTTGTCGTCTTCTCTGACCCATCCCCTGCGAGTCTTGTACCAGTTTCTGCAGCCGTGTAAGTACGAATGAATATTTCCCTATTTTCTTTTTAAGCATACCTGTACTTGCAGTCGAAATTAACCTCGTCGCCTCTGTTGGCGCTGCCAGTTCTATCACTCGACTGACACGGATACTTGAAGTAGTCGAATCTGCGCTCGACCCTGCAAGTATCCCGCTCTTCAAGACCAGAGTCCTCAATGTCTTCAGGCTCCGCAGATGGAGCAGCATTGACGAGAGATATAGAGAGCGGAAGAAGAGCAGTGAGAAGATAGATTGGGGACTTCATGTTGAATGTTTAAGTAAGAATGCTTGATTTCCTGTCTGTGAACTAAATGTGGTTGATGTTGTTCTACAGTCGAGATATGGTGTGTGTATCACTGCTTTTATATGTGTCTGTGCACTGAGCAATTGTACATGGACACAAGAAGGAATATATTGTAAGCTGGCCAGGCCGGTCGAGACAAGGTCCAGCTGCTGGACTCCGAATCTCATGACAAGGAATGTCCATCTCTATTCGTTCCTTAGTGAATATGACACCCCTGGAACCATAACTGAGACATATGCCGGGTGCATACTGAAATAACGCGGTTTCATATTGGCTCGTCTAGAATCGAGCTGCCAGATCGCCAATACACAGTAGCGGGATTTGAGTATGATTCACCGCTGACTGGACCCCGAGACCTGAGTTTATCCGGACCCTGCTTCATGAGTGAGACTTGGTTCAGCTGGCTGCAATGTAGGGGACCAACGCCAAGATGTGGCTTGTTTTCTTATCAAGTCATTGGGCCTAGCTTCTTGAAACTGGCCCGCATTTGACTGATCAGCGCCAGACATAGTAGCACGTCCCAGGGTCGGGATTATCTTGGGTACAGAACATCCGGATTCCTGGGTCTGCACAGACCACAGCATGTTGCCACCCGTGAAGCTTAACGGTCGCGGGGTGAGTAGTTCTCACCTAAGAGCATCCTGTAGAGAAATGGAAGGGGGCTGTACACAAGAAGGCCTGTGAGTGCTATCTCAGGTGCTGTATCTTTTACGAGATTCAGCTATGGAACCGGCTAAAGCTAGTAATGGGGATTAAGTCATGACCACAATGCGGTTGTTCTAGGCTCCCCCGCCAGCTGTGGTATCCACTGGTTTTCTGATGTCCACGGTTGGCCGGTCTTGGCATGGCCAAGCGTTGGCTTTTGCGGAGGAAAGTATAGAACGCACCAGCGGCAATGTTGTCCGCCCCAGCTCAAATGTCATCTGAAGAACGTTCTCCTAAGCCATCGACACGAATTCTATGATGAAAAACGGGTCCCACTTGAGATTGTTCCCCGTGTGATCGTCAGGGAGCGTACAATGGGTCCAGCATTCCAGCCCCAAACTATGCCATAGTATGACGGGGATGAGCTCTTTCGTTGAGACCCTGCATGCGAACGTCTCAGTAACGTTGGCTCATTGAGGGCTGATTGTACCGGACCCTCGCTTTTAGGGTACTATTACAATTGCAGAGCTGCCGGTTGTACCTTATGCTGTGTCCACCTCCATTAGCCAATGTGTTAAGGGTGGTTTAGGAAACGACAGTCTGGGCACAACTCAAATAAGATGACCAGGTATTGAAAAGCCTAGACTTCTCCCACGATATTACTGTGAGAATAGCCTTATAATCTCCATCCAAGACCGCTTCTCGTACTTCCTCAGCTTCAGCTGAAGAGTCTTGTTCTCAGAGAACTATTCCATATCTCTTCTCAAGTTTCCCCAGACCTCTGTACTATCTTGCTGCGCTTAATTATATAAAGGAGAGTTAAGTAACTGTTTATCTACAATTCTCTCTGTATAGATACCATAGACGGGTCTTCTAATATAGAGTATGGTAAAATATATTCGAATAGTCAAGATAAAAATTGCAGACACTTATTAAATAATAGATATATAAAATTAAAATAAAGGATAGTAAAGAAGTACTCTCTGAGCAGTAATATAGAGGGAAGCATTCGTGGACCAACCAAGCCAACCTCGGCTATTCCAACCCCCCAAAATTCTTTTTCTCCGGCAGTTACGGCCAGGATCAGACAATTCCACGATACTGGCGAGGATCTGCTATACTTTAAGGCGTTAAGCTCCGTCTGGGTAAGCTGGTTTAGAGATATTTCGAAGGGTTAGTGTCAGCTCTCAAAAAAGGCCATCTTTCTGATGTTCAAAAGTACCTTGATGCAGGGATTAGTCCCAACCTCCGTGACAAAGAGAACAAGCAGAGTCAGGAGAGACCACTGCTGGTATTTGCTGCTATCAATGATCATGTACACATCATTGAGCTCCTTCTAAAATGTGGCGCCAAAGTTGATAAGATGGAGTCTTATGGCCGAACTGCACTCTCCTGGGCAGCTGAGTATGGTGCACTTGATGCTTTGAAGCTACTTATTGACCATGGTGCAAATATAAATGCCGAAGACAAAGAGTGGACAACGCCACTTGCATGGGTAGCTCATGCAGGCACAGGGGATACACAGAAAGTGCATGACTATCTTATATCTAACGGCGCTAAGATAGAAATGCATCACTCATTTTTGGAAACATTGAAGCATTCGCTTGCTGCAAAGTGCAACTGGGCGCTGTTCAGACTGAACGGTAAGAGCTCTTAATAAGTCATCATCAGCTATTTACACTAACCTAAAGCTAGCTAGATTTTGAGGTTAGTGTGCATGAGAGTTTAACATATGCTGTCTGTTCTTCAATTACGTTACATACCAATAGTTTTAGATAAAATAGCATCCTATATCCATTAAATTATTCTTGTTGTTGTTCATTGAGCCAGACTATAACCAGTGATAGTACATATTCCGAATTGTCTAAGATTAGTAGAGTTCTACCTCGTTACTTAACCAAGAACAGGGGTTTTTCGGATGATTACAAGAGTATGTTAGTCATAGGGTCAAGAGCATTTACGACCCCATTTCAGTACGGCAGACCCACTTATGAGAGGTTCCTAACTATATGGACCCTCGCCTCATATTAAGCGAGACTCTATATGATGTTCTGATTAATTGAGAGGCTCTTGTTTCTCTCTATGAAGCGGCGTTAATCCCTGGTATTATTTGGTATGTGCTCAGGCGACAACCTTGCACCCACTGCGGCACCAAAATGGTGCGGTACCCACCCGGGGTCACGGCCAGTTTCCACATACGCCCACACCCTATCGCAATAAAAGCGTTAGTTAGGTTCACTGAACGTTGTAGTGTTTTTTTATCCATTCTAATTTCGCCTTCTCGTGAAATTTATGTGCTGAACCGGAAGAGGGAATATACTCGCTTACTGTACCATGCATTGGTCATTGTCTCTGTGTCATGCAAGCAGATTACCGTAGAGAGAGACATTGTCAGGTTTGATTACTTATTAGGCGTCGACGGCATGACAGCCCAGTGGAAACGATCAGAATATAGAGAGAGTACAAATGAGCTATAACGCAAGAGCTGGAGTCAATTATTTCTCGAACAATAATCACTCAGTGAAGAAAATCGAAAAAACATGTAATTATATACGTACCAAGGGAACCATAAATAATCAGTAGTGGAGCGTATTGCCAAAATCGTATCCTTTGCTAGTCTCAGATCCACGACGCTACTCAGGGGTGGACTCAGAGGTCAGCCTAACAATTAGCGCCTGCGGCCCCATTTCAGCACGGCGGATCCACTATATACCTGATGTTGTCAGGGGAAGGAGAGCAATGCGCTGTTGTAAGTTTAACCTTTCACCGTGAAATTGTGATTGTTGAAAGGTGATCAAATTATATTGAAATGTTACCTTGTGCATCTCTTCCTTGGTTCTATAAATGTCTTCTGGGATTCCTATTCGCCTTCACACTACTTTTGAATCTTATCCCTCAAAAAATATCAATACTCTGCCCCTCCTACGCGCATTTGTCTTCTATCATGGCGCGGACTGTTGGCCTTTGTTTACCGGTAAGCGTGGATACATCGCTCAACCATGCCGACTACGCAGAAACTAAACGCTATTTGGTCAGATATTGAGTGGTGATGATGATCAAGAGGAAAAAGATGTTGATCAATTTTCAATGAAAGATGAATTGGAGTCGCTACAACAGGCCGACTTTGGTGTAGGTAAGCTACGCTACTATACGCCGCTCCAGCGACTCATCTTTTCTCAGGAAGCCAGAGAGCTCCTTCGTGTTTTACGTGTTTTGAAAAAACGCGGCATCGCACAGAGACTTGCCATTGCCGCGTACGTATCTGGATGCGCACGTGATACTTCTTGGATGATTCAGGGTCATGATGAAGGTTTCAAAGTAGAGATACCAACAGACAAATGGTACGGGGTGTGTGAGATGATGGTGAAAGAGGGTTTTCTTAAGGCCAAGAATCTCGCAACACAGCTAGAAAGCGATCGAACTAATGCTACATTGTGTCCAGAGTCTGCTTAGCAACTCTGTGAAGCCAAGAGATTGTTGCAGAGTTGTTCTTTAAGTAGCTTTGGGGTCAACAATTGATAGTACTTTACAGTACATTTCCCGTCTTCTGGGAAACCTTTTCCAAATTAGAGATTGTTAAGTTTATAGTTACCTCCGCTTCCCACCTCTTATCCAGTACCAAAAGTAGTAGGTTATTATATCTCAGCTGTGTATCTGATCTGTTGATGGTTTAGGTCAATGTTTATAATGTGACTTCCATGATACGTAGGACTCAATGCCTTACACATTGATGACATGCGTTATAACCGTTCATCGTTTATTTACGAAACTGTATATCTGAGCAGAATATATTGGTCGAAATTGTTACTACTTAGGAAAGATAACCCTCCAGATATTTTGCAACCGTTCAATCAGAGCATCGCTTTCGCCGCCTGAGGGTTAGCTCATAGCGCCACACTCTGTCTTTGGCAACAAAGGGGATGGATCAACAACCCCATACCTATGGTATGGGTCTCAGAATAAACAGTATTCGCCCCCATTTCATGCTGCCGATTTCTTTCTAATAGATTTTATATAGAAGATAACAAGCAAAAAAGAGTCTACCTAACCAAAGGAATAGAAGCATATTTCTGAAACATCTAAAAGACCCGTGCCCGGATTGGGATTTCGATTCATTAGGCAGACCAGATCTATGGGGAAAGAATTGTGGATCCGCAAACTATTAGAGACCGCACTCGGGGGTGTCCATGTCACGTTCCTGAAAGACAGTTGCGGCCCCAGTTTGGTATGGCAGACCCACTCCGGGTAGTAGGTGCTAGGTCACCATCTACAACCTGCCAAGCCGCCTGCTCATGCTGTAGCAGTGTTGAAGTATTATAAATACTGGACTATTGTGCTAAGTTATTGTTTTTCGAGGTTCGTAACTTTAGCTTATATGGTATGACTTGGCTGTGTTCGGCTATATCTTCATTGCAGGACTACCTCAGGACCTATTTAATACGCTCTAATCTTTTCTCCGGTCAAATTGCGACGTTGTTTCACCAAACCCTTTCGAACCAATATTCCTTCAATTCAAGAGATTGGTAATATTTTTCTGATTCGCAGCAAGGAATATCTTCGGACTTTAGGTACAGATCCAAGCGCAAAGATTAATATTGCTTATGTCCGCTAACTAATACTTAGGATGCTGGGAACTATCTCTTGGGACTGTTTATGCTGCAAGGGGAAGAGTGACCCCTGCACTCGGGAGATTTCATTTGTTCCCTATGGCCCAGGCGCCGCCCTGGAAGCCACCCTGTCATATATCCCGTCCGCCAAAAGTCGGGTTAAGATGATCACGTTGTGTGAAGATTGCAGCGAGGGATTCACCGAAGATGAGCAAATGAATCGTAT